ACAAGCTCCTTCACAGTCAGGGTGTCCAGACTGTGGAATAAACTCCCTCCAGAGGTGGTGCAGTCACCTACCCTGGAGGTTTTCAAAAGGAAACCAGACAGTCACATCGCTCGGGTCACTTGACCCCAGTTGTCTTCCTGCCTAGAGCGGGGGGCTGGACCCGATGATCTGCACGGTCCCTTCCAGCCAATGAATCCCAGTCAAGGCTTTGCCTACCTGGGTCTTACAAGCCACCAAGGATGGAGAGTCCACCACTTCTCTGGGTAACTTGTTCCAGTGTTTTACCATCCTCCTAGTGAGAATGTTTTTCCTAATATCCAACCTCGACTTCCCTTGCTGCAGCTTGAGCCCATTGCTCCTTGCTCTGTCATCTGCCTCCACTGAGAACAGTCCAGCTCCATCCTCTTTGCAACCGCCCTTCAGGTAGTCAAGGGCTACCATCAAATCCCCCTCAGTCTTTTCTTCTCCAGACTAAATAAGCCCAGTTCCTTCAGTCTTCCCTCACAAGTCCTGTCCTCCAGCCTCTGAACCATTTTTGTTGCCCTCGGCTGGACTCTCTTCAATTTGTCCACAATAAAGAATTGCTGGAAATGCCTGAAGGCTGTGGGTCCTGCAGCCCAGGATCACGGCAGCCTCATCATGCTTGAATTTCCAACCTGTTGGTCCCCAGCCCATCGCCCAAGCCTCTGGGCCACAGGAATCAGCTCAGTCCATGGTGGATCAGGTCTGCCCCTGCCCTGGGCAAAGATCAAGCTCCTATGAGCTTTGCTTGGCATTTGGCCCCTGTGCCCCACCCTCAGGCGCTTTGGTTCAGGGTGGGCAGGCTTGGGCACTCGCATGGCCTCGCAACGCCGCCTGGCCCCTGGGAGGCTGGGGGCACGCAGGCAGTTGCCGGCTGCAAGATCAGGCATCTGCGGAGGGGGAAGGTCACCCCTGCGAGTTTGGGTTGCTGCCAAGCTTGAAGCCGACGGGTTTCTGCAATACAAGGGCTCGCCGAACCCTGTGGCAGTGCATGCAGGCCCAGGGTGACACCTGGAGATCCAGAAGTGATGGGAGCCTGTCATTCTTCACTTTGAGGAGACAGACACTGGTGGACAACTGAGATTTTACATTTGGAGCCCTCCTGCCAGGGCAGTTACCTTTGTGACTGGCATCTCCCTGCAGGGTTTGTAATCCACATGCTGCCCAAGAACTGGGAAGGGGAGCAGAGCAGGAAGGAGATAACTCCAGAGGGGGGAGAGTGCTACATTTATGCCCAAAGTCCAGGGGGGCACATGTTTCTGCACTTCCCTGACTGCGGTTTTGCTGGTAACGGAAGGCAGCAGCAAGCGGGGGAGGAGTCATCCAGACCCCATCCTTAGACCTAACTACCAGCACTTGGATCAGCATTGTGTTGGGCCTTCGGGGACCTCACAGCCGCCAGCCAGCGACAACCGCCTCTGAAAAAGAGATAATGGTATCGGCAGTGATGTCACCTCCAAGGTGGAAGATGCCGACACGGTGACACAAAGGTGGGGCTTGGAGTTATGGGCCCGGGGAGGTACAGCTGGAAGCCTGCAGGCTGGCACTGGCCACAGTGCCTGTTGTCCCAGCTCCTGGTGCTGCCCTGTGCATGCAAGCGCCATGGTTAGCAAAGAGCAGTAACAGGCTGTAAATCCCATAGGAAAGGGAGCGCTAGGAGCACCCAGGAAACGGCACAGCGGAGTTCACCCTTACGTGACACGTCCTATTGACACCACAGGGCTGAAGTGCAGGGCAGACGGAAACTTGCAGGGTGCAGCCCCACATATAGGCACATGGGACAAGGCTGGCAGTCAGGCTCTTGGCAGCATCTCAGACACAACCCTCCAGACCCCTCCTGCTGCAGCCCCCAGGACAGGGGAAGTCACAGAGCAGTCGTAAGGGAAACTTTTGTCTACTTTAAAAGGGGGAAAGTGGCTCTGCCCATGAGATCAGTGCCAGCTCAGAGGCTCCATCTACCGGACGGTTCTACCAGTTGCATGTAAACCCCTCTTCCTGCGCGGGGGGCTGCTTTTGGCCGAGACTGGAGGCAACGAGGAGAGGCAAAGATGCCAGCTAGAGGGAGCGAGTGCCAGGAGGTGCAGGTGGCACAGACTTGGCCTTTCCCTCCTACACTGCAGGGAGGTTTCCCTGCACGCCCAGAGAAGGCAGGAAGCAGCGTCTGAGCCCGCTGCCACCAGAAGGCAACTGTGTTTTCCCTCCTCAGCAACCGCCTTAGGAGTTTGTGTGCTCACAGGAGAAAGTTTTTTCCCCTTCTCCTTTTGTACCCTGTCAGGATGTCCAGCAAGACCTACCTGCTGAGCAAGCCCAAAACAGCACAGATGTGCTACATTACTAGCTGCTGGAAGACCCATGCCTGAAGTCAAGGGTTTGTTCATCTCAAGTCACTGAGGGAATGATTTTGCTCCCTCTCAGCTGCAGTTCATGGACCTCACTGACTGGTTTATACCTTTGGCAGAAACATCTCAAGGACTGAACACGTCCTTCCTTTAAAAGTAGGTTTCCCCATGGGACAGGTTGCCTCCCACTGGTTGTATGGAAACACCTCCACGGACAGCTCCGACTCCACATACTCCACTGCTCACTTCAGGCCAGGGCCCTCTGGGGCTTCAGAGACCCAGGCCACTTCTCACTTTAAAAACCAGACAGACTCCAATCTAAAAAAAGCTGCGGCACATCCCAGAAATAGCAAGTGTAAATTGGTTGCAGTCGCAGGTTTAATAACCTGTCATGTCACCGATGCACAAGGTTAATGGCCTTTGGTGTCTAAAAACAACCAGCTAAATGAATTAAAATTTTAAAAAGTGCAACAGGTCAAGAGAAACTTCCCACGTATGGAGCTTTTCCTCTTGGTGCATTTTAGCATCTAAATTATTTCCGTTTTCAGACAACAGAGCTCCTAAAGCAAGCCTGGTTAGAAATCATATAGAGGGAAACCCAGACTGGTCCAAGAGAAATCCCTCCAGGGGACAGAGGTGGGCAATTGCAACAGGGGCCTTATTTCATCCAAGCCAGGACACTCCAATTCTTCCCTGCAACATTGTGCTAGAGCTGGACCAGCCAACCCCGCTTAACACCCTCATAATAACCTTTGAAAACGTGCTTGTCCCAACATCCTGGCTACATTTCAGAGTGGCTCAACTGAGCTCCACACATTTCCCCAGAAGCAGCCTCTAGCTCTCTCTACAAACACAAAAGGACCCAGATTGTATTTTTTCACTTTTTTTTTATTGAAAACTTACATTAAAGTTAGAAAGGTATCGAGCTAAACAGTGCTGGTTCTTTAATGTTTCATGTAAATATAGACTCGGTGCCATTATCACTCATACTTCCATCGGAAAAAAAAAAGGGTGGTGGTGGAGGGGGGGGGAATAAAACCACAGAGGAGAGACAGATGAACAGTTTGGAAGAACATGCAGTGGATGGTCCAAAGGAGAACGAGACAAGCAAGAAGGCTAGGACAGACTCCAAGGCATTTCCAAGACATCACGCTCTGCTCACATGGGCTTTGGAGGGAGCACGACCATCTGGCAACAGCTCCCCAGGCCTCCCCACCGTGAAGAGCAACATCATTCTCTAACTCTAAAGAGCACAAGGGGGTCACAATAATGGAGTGTGGGGTCTTAATACACAATAAATTATTTGAGGTTAAAAACTCACTCAATCTGTGTCAGGCAGGCAATGCAGTGTGCTTAACGAGAGGGCGGAGGCACACATGACACTAATGGAAGAAAAAAACCTGCGCGTTTCTTTTTGCTGTATTTTCTTGTCAGAATGAACCAGGTAGTGGCTGTCAATGTAGGAAATTGCACCTATTTCTCTCTCCTTTGACATCAAGTACAACAGGTTTTCAACACAAAGCCAGGAAGTGGCAAGAAAAAAACAAAACAAAAAAACAACTCTGGCTTCCACAGACAGTCATGGGAGTCTGTGATATTTACATTAGGCCAAATTAGGGAAAAAAAATATATATATATATGTATGCATATATTGTCATAATCTTAATGCTTTGACATTTTTTTTTGGCTGTGTCACTCTTCCAATGACATTTCTGTTGCTCCTCAGAAGTCTTAGGTACACAATCAGCTTCCTCCAGTAATATTCTGTCTTGTCACACAAAATACAAGACACTTCAATTTTAAATACCATGCAAGGCAGAAAAGGGCTTCTTTCCAAGACACTAAACATTGAAGATCTGTCCCCCCCACACAGACATTATAGGACCCCTAAACCCTCTTCTAGAAGCAGTAGTCTTCTCCCTCAGACACAGCGCAGCTGGCGAAGACAGACTAAAAAAAGCTACAGAGAGAGGGGAAAAAGAGAGAAAAAACAGAAGATTATCAAAAGGAGAAGGACATTCAAAAAGCAGGAAATAGAGACTCAACATAAGCTGAGAAAGGAGAGGTGGGCAATTACAGTAACTGCTCCCAGGGCTTCAAGGAAACCACACAAATTAGAACATTGTTTAAAGAGGTTTTTAATAGCATTATAAAAGGAGTCAAAATGATCTGTAACAGCCAACAACCTGCAATGCAGGAAAACAAAAGGCAGATAAAAACACTCTTTGCAGCTGGACACGAGGCCCGCTGACAAAGGGACACTGACTCATTATGGAAGGCGTGCGACTAAGGAAAGCAGCGAGTGCTTGAAGTACTGTATTTTCTCACATACAACATGTCCTGAAACAAAATGTGCACCTGGTTTCTGAAAGGCAGAATGAAGAAAGAAAGATCTTTTCTTTGTGAGCCTCTGTTGGGCAGGGTCGGGGAGGGGGTGGGTGGAGAATGAGGGTCCACAGCCAGCACCTAAGGAGCCTGGCGTGCAGTGTAGCACGTGCAGCTTTAGTTTTGCTTTCCCCAGGCAGAAGGTGAACTGCTGTTACCCTATTTCCTTGGTTACCATGCACACCCCAATTTCCAGCGGCTGCATTTTAGAGGAAAAGAAGTGTGTGTGTGTGTGTTATATGTGAGAAATTATAGTATTTCAAACTTCTTTTTTAAAAAGCAGTTTTTTAATTGATCTTTACAGTGCCCCCAGAAACCTGAGAAAGTATAAATAGGCTGCAGTCAAGCACTTGAACAGTCTTCACTTCTAGAAAATGAGGCCACATCTTAGCTTCAGTTATGGGCTCCTGCACGAGGCTGACCATGTGCTTGGGCAAGGAGCTGGATGGAGGAGCACATGGAGGAAGAGGAACTGCCTTCCCCATTAATGCTGACATGCGCCACAGGGGATAAGCCTCAGGCTGAGGCTAGATGGGACATCTCCAAACACAGGCCTACAGCCAGCCAGACCAACCTAGAGCCAGGCAGTTGCCAGCTCCCCTGGGACAGGAGGAGGTCTTGTCCCCAAAGCTCTGATCTGGCCAGCGAGCAGATACGAGGAAAAGGGAACCTGAGTAAGAGCCATCGCCATCAGGCTCTCAGGTTTGAAGAGTGTGTGCAGGCAGTTGAAAGACGCTGTGGCAATAGCAGACCCTGAGACATCAGCCAGCTCTCCTTTCACCAGTGTTTGAGGGCTGTCTGTTGACTTCAGCCTTCATAAGATGCTCCCATTCAGGGTCAAGCTTTCAAGTTAAAATTCCACATGCACACTTTGCCTTTTTCCCTAAAACGGTGAGATCTCACACGTTCCCCTTTAACGCTCATGGCTCACAACACACCTTCAACAGGACCTGTGCGCACACATCCCCCCCATCCAAGATACAAGGATTCACCCACTCAGCCACCATAACTAAACCAAGGCTGTGTTGTCTTTTCAAAATCCCCAATAAATAGATTTTAAACTGCATTGTTATTTTGCCAGCAAAAAAACTGCACAGAATTCTTTTCCACATCCCTTAATTATTTGGGGGGGAAAATCCATTAAACGTAAAATAAAAAAGAAAGGAGTGTTAAGGTTACAGTGTCCAAAAACAGCTTATCTTAAATGGTTTCATCAAAGAAGTCACCACCAATACATAGGAAAGGAAGATTCCTGATGAGGAGAGAGAGGATTGGAAAGGTCATGGCTGAAATGTTATGAGAAGCTGTCAGCTGTTACTAGAACCTCTGTTTTAACAAATAAAGGAAGGTCCATTCGAGCCCTTTGCATTCAGGGATTATTACTCAGTACAGAGCCAGGGGTTACTGTAAAAGAAGGGCAAAAAAAAAAAAGTAAACGTTAACCAGAATTCATGGTCTCAAAGACTTTATTTTTTAAAAAATGTCCCCTTTAAGGAATACACGGACAAGACATTTTCAGGCAAACCACAGCTTGTTCAGGGAGGTACCTACTGAGCCTCACTGAAGGCAGAAGCAAAACTCCCACCCATTCAGTGCAAATGTTGCGTTAAGAAAACCCCAAAAGCTTTCGCTATATAGAAAATTTCAAGGAACAACTAAACCGCATCTGTGCATTCCTAAGCAGATGCTGGGTTTTCCTAATAATACTTGGGATATTAAACAACAAACAAAGAATATAAGGACAAAGGGTTTTGAAAAGAAAGTAATACAGCAGCATCTCTATGCTGTCTTCTTCATAAACACCAGCTGTTCTAGCAAGTAAATACGGGCCTTTGCGCGGGTTTTCCCTGAGTTTGGATCCAGGATTTGTTTCAGCATGTCACGGTAACAGGAGAAGAGTCTGTGGAAGGCAGGCCAGGCGGATCTGAACTTCCCAGAGTCTGTGTGGCTCAGCTCACCAGGGCAACCTGCTGCAAAGCCTGGATCTGGATTGAGTTTTCCCCACAGTGTGGGGATGAGAATGGGGCTCTCCATCTTTTGGGGTTCTGGCTCAGGCCCCTGACTGCTAGCATGGTACATATGTAACAGTCAAGTACAAGGAATCCAATCTAGATGAGGATGGGTTAGACACTAATACAGAAAATGAATGCACCACAACAAAGAGCAGCCTCTCTCACAGGCCGCCCAGAGAGCAGGCTCTAATTGCACTCGCAGGGATTCGGAGGCAGGGCACAGGCTTCAGGGCACTAAATGCAAGTCCACAAGCAGCCGTGCTCTGACCATGCAGATGTGAAACATGTGCGAGAACTAGCCGGGATGGTTTAGAGCAGAGGATGCTAGTTCTGCAAGCGCTCGGCCATACAGGCTGCTGCCCAGAGGGGGAGTGGGCAGCCTTTAGTGCCTCCTGTCAGTTCCATACAGGTTATTGCTGGGCTCCTTACCCATGGCTAGTCAAGGGCAAGACTGTTGCTTTTTAAAATAATTGTAAGGAGAGGAAGGGAGCAGGGGGTGAGAGGTGGGCAAACAGGCAGTGGCAGCCGCGGGATAACTGAATGTGGGGGCATTCGATTCTGGTGCCAAGGGGAAGGTGCTACAGGAAACCCGAACTGAAAATGAAAGAAAAAGGCAGGTTAATGGCACTGTGAGTGAATTTAAATAAGCAAATAAATCAAACATAATTATGGTTTCTATCAGGCAAAACAAATGAGAGTGTTGCTATGTGTTAATAAAGCTGACTGGTCTTGACCGACTACAACACATGCTTTGCACGCACAGGCACAGACAGCAGGGGCACGAACAACATCTCCCACAGTCACCTAACACAGTGGGATCAATCCTGTAAGCCCCTGCTAGAGTGAAGCCCCATAATACTTTATGGACCAACACATGCATAATTAGAACAGTTGAAAAAGGACCAGACATACATATTTAGCTCAGTGGAGACAAATGCCCATTCAACAGGCACTGTCTGCAATTGTATACCCGGAACAAAAGAACGTTATTTGATCTGGGGCCGGGCATACAATAGTGTACAGTTATAAGGACTGCCCAAAGCAATCCAAAACCAACAAGCAGCAGCAATGTTCGCTCCAACTGCACTTTAGCCCTGCCTTTGTGCTCAGCCCAGCATGAACACTGTTATTCTTTGAGATTATTTTTCATGTTCAGATCCCAAAAAGCAAAGAATTGTTCTTTCTCCATACCTCCCCCACTTTACATTGTTATTGTTGGCAGCAACATTCATCCTGTCTGAGCATCCAAGCAGGGTTTTTTGTTTTGTTGGTAGGTTTTGGTTTTTTTACTATATCTCATTCTGTATAGGACCCTTCTGGAGTCCTTATTAATAAGTGGGGCTTACGATTAAGATAACATTTTTTATTCAAAACTCAGTGTTATTCCTTCTCTTTATTCCTGTTTCATGATAGACCATAGGTTAGTTTATAACTAGATCCTATTGACTTTATTTTAAAAGGTCAGTTTGTGGTAGGAAATCATCTCAAAATGCTGGTCTTTCTGGAGGGTCATTAATACAAGGGCCATAAGGAGTCTTATTTTAATGGACACATTATTACAGCTGCAAATGTGCCCTTTAAAAGCAATAGGGCTGATATGCTGCTCACACTTACATAATGAGTACTGCTGATCTGCCAAAGCAAGCTAGATGTGTTAGTATCAGTTTTACCTATGGCAATAGGAGTTGTATCTGGTTGCAAAATAAAGGCTCTTTAGATGCATCCATCACAGCTATAATCATCAATTTACTCATCAGTTGAGGATATAAATGGCTTTCCTGCTTCTGCTGGCTGGGTGCATTTGTTAAATGATTTCTTTACATCTAAATGAGTCCCTGTCCCTTACAATATACATCTATACCTTACAATGCCACATATATGCAAGCTGAAAGCACTGGCTGACTTCAAGCTTCATTCATTAACCATTTCAGGGTTTACAAAGCAGCCTGACTGTAAACAATGAAGCTTCCCTACTGCTATGCAGGGAGACCCAGGATTACATGACAGCAATATAAAATGACTCAGAATTGTGCAAACATTGAGGACTAAGACACCCACTTAATTCTGAGTGGAGGAAAGCTTTTGTGGCCTTTCTAGAGGAACTCAATGGGTGGCTATAGCCCTCTTCCAAAACTAGAAGCTACCTGCATAGGCACCGATTCCATGGGTGCTCCGGGGCTCAAGCATTCACTGAAAAAAACTGGCAGGTGCTCAGCACCCATAAGCCACATCGGGCAAGCCAGGCTGAAGTAACACGCTGCCTCTTCTGGGCATGCACGAGGCTAGGCACAGGAATGCCACTGGTAAAAACTGAAGCCAATGCCTATGGCTACCTGGATTCCTGATATGAATGCCAGGACCCAGGGGCAACGTATGCATCTTTGTGGGAAAGGCCTGTAAGGCTAAATGCAAGCTGTTGTTTTTTTTCTAATAGAAATCACACTTAGTTTGAAAAGCCTCCCACAGACAAGGCATGTCACACACCTGGAGCTCAAAGGCACAGCCTTTAGTCCTTGATCATTTTAGATCAACACCCAGCACCTGTTATTTGGCAATAAGCAACTACAAAAAAATCCTAACTTTGACTATTTACTGCCTCAGAGTTAATAGAGACCCAGTGACATACCCAGGGCTGAACAGTAGCTTGGTGACAGAGGCTAGGGTACAAGTCTTGAATCCCAAGCCTGTGCACTAACCAGTCATTAGGGGTAGAAGACTTCATTCCCATCAAACATGCTGATTCTCAATACCTACATTTCTATAGTTATTGTTACCATAGCATCTACATGACTAAAGATCTTTTAGTTTTAGAGAGAGAGAGAGAGAGAGAGAGAGAGAGATGACAAAAGGATTGTCTTTACTAGTGATATTAGTAAAATGGCTGCAAAGCTTTGGAGGCAGTGTCCTCCATCCCGAACATGCCGTTATTATATTGTCCTTTAACATTACAACACATCAAGCAGCTCTTCATGAAAAGTCACTCCTGTTACTTTGCAGCATTGTTAAGGACACACAGTTCTCCTGAATACCCTAGATTTATTACGGCATGTGGAAAAAGACAGAATAGCAATACACCAGGACAGGCAAAAGGGGAGAGAGAAGTGAAAGGAGGAGGGAAATGTTTTGTGATTGTGCGGTTGGGTGGGTTGGTGCTCTTAAGAACTGCATGACTGGATCCCACTGCAAGGTCTATTGTAGTTAATGAATCTTACCAGGACAATGCACCTCATGCCCCATGCAGCAAACAGCAGTTAACTGTAAAACAGCACACAAGTAACAGCTGATGGCGATGGCATGGTAATAAACATCAAGTCATGAATTAGTGCAAATAATGGAGCCTGGACTAATTAAGAAAGGGAAGTGCCAAGTTATTTGCAAATGCAGATCTCATGGGAAAGAGAAGGGCTAATCTACAGTTAGTTAGCCACTGTTAAACAAAACATTATCAAGCTAAAATCCTGCCTATAACATTCCTGGTTGCTATGGAGATTTCTGATGTAAATGCTGTAATGGAGCTGATAGTAGGAGAGTATCCAATGTAGGAGGAGAGTATCCACTGTAGGAGTTTGGCAGAGAGCAAGGCACAGCACCATTTTAAAACACAGCTTTTTTTAACTTGAGAGAAGAGACCTCACTGATTAAAAGCTGGCTTGAGTGCTGAACAATAGTGCTTCATTTAATTTCCTGAACCCCAAAACTTTCCACTGTGGGTGCTACCCCTCTTCTTGACCCAATCAGGCTGGACTACAAGATACTTGGAGGCAATTTTGCTGTCAGCTATTCAGTATGTGTCTGAGTGTCTTATTCTGACTGGCATCTTTTTGTACAGCTCAGGGCCTGTTCAGCTTAGGGCTACTGGCTAGGGTTGGATATTCGTCTTGTGTTAGTCTGCCCTTAGAGATAACTGGCTACGTTGGAGAAGAGGTACCAAGAGGTCTAACTGGAAAGGGGAAGTCGCGACAGAGAAGCAAGCACCAAGTTAACAACTTACTTTTTCCTCTCCTTGTCCCGTTTAAGAGTCTGTGATCCTCCAGCCTGCTGGGCCTGAGACTGGAGCAGCTCAGCCGCCGTCTTCTTCTGTTTGAATGCATTTACTTCATCATCCAGAGATTTCTTCTTGTCCTCCAGCTTCTTCTTCTCATCCTGATGCAGCTTCTTCAGACGATCAAACTTTTCATGCAGCTGGAGAGAGAAGAGAGAGAGAGAGAAAGAGAGAGAGAGACAAGAGCTGACACACCAATATACCTTCTCTCTCTACTGAGAAAATCCCCATGAAGCTAGAAGACATTTTCTACGAATATAGGACATTTCAGCAGCAACGTAGCTGAGATTAATCAAGGCTCACAGTAGTGGAGATGTACACATGCATGCACACGCACGCACACACTACTGTCTTCACCTCTTTTTCAGCCTCTTTAAGCTCTGCTTCTTTTTCCTTGACTCTCTGGACAAACATTTGCCTCATCTCCTCCTCTTTTTTCTGCAGTTCCCCCAGAAACTCGTTCCGTTTGGCCTCATAAGTCTCTTGTAGGCTAGAGAGAAAGAAAGAGCAGGTGTAAAAATCAATGATAAACTCAGGTTTCTTCTCAGGCATCCCCTCTAAGTTCACAAGAACCATCATGGCTGAGTAAGCACATGGGACAGACCAGAATCTGAGCCTGCTGGTCAGGTGCTCAGGGGATGGCCTGGCTCAAACCCCCAAATGCTATCACTGCTGGACTCTAGGGAAGTTCAGCTTCAGATTCAAACACAGCAGCATTAGGCTCATCTTACCCTGCAATCCCTGAGAAATTAAAAGAATAACACTTCCTGTGATCACAGGGATCATTTCATCAGCTGCCTGCATTTAGCCCTGGCACCCTAACCCCCCAGTCTTCATACTGGGAATAGGCCATCTCTCAGTTTCCAAAGGGACAGACAACTTTAGAAAGCAGCATCATCTGGAAGTACTTGCGTTGCCATCTGAAACCAAGCCACCACCTCAGGGCACTTCCTTGCCCCATGTTTGCCTCCATTTCTCTTATGCTCTCTGTTGAAAGAGCTGGGATCAGACCCTCATCCTCACTTTTCTCTCCTGTATCTTCCACTTGCTGCTCCATGTGTCTCCGTGGGCTGTGCTTCTCTGGGACTGGGAGCTCCATGCATCATTTTATTACTCTCATGTACTTAACCAAGGAAAAGCTGATGATTAGCAAGTCCATTCCCCCCTTGAGCCCTCGCTGAGCTGTGCCATTTGACCTGCTGCTGTGGAAGACGTTAAGTTTAGCCATCCTGGGGTGAAGAAAAGCTGGGTTCGCTGTGCGATACAGATGGGAGCAGGGGGGTAAATCAGAAGAAAGCACTTGCCAAAGACAGATGCTGATTCCAAAGGAAGGCACTGGGTGATCCCCAGCAGGGGACACTCACGATACAGGGATTCTTGGCTCAACAAGGACAGGGGGATTCTTGGGTTTATAGAGTCTGCTCTGGTTCTAGCTTTCCCCTCCTATTTCCCTCACATCCTGCTTTGCATATGCCTTTCATCTGCACATCTTCCCTTTGCTCATTCAGGCTGTGCTGGTGCTGAAGTCTGGGGGCCACTCTCCCACTCTGATGCTGCCTGGGAGCATCATGTAGCCTGTGGCATAGGACCCAGTCAGGGGTATGAAGGCCTAGCCTTTCAGAGCCAGTTCTGCATGTGCTTGGGGCCTCATGACAGGGTGAGCCAGTTGTGGTCTCTCCTGCCCACTATGCTGCAGGGAGCATACCTGAAAGGTTTGCTGTCAGGATCTGTGTCCTTGAACCCCATCTCTTCCAGCTTGCACCGCCGGTACAGCTCGTAGTGGCGTGCATGGGTCTGCTCGCGGAGATCTTCCATGTTCACACGAATAAGCATCTCGCGTAGCTTCACAAAGTCACAGTGAGCTTCGTTCTCCACTGCAAGACAATTGGAGCAGTGACATGGAGTGACACACAGAGAGTTGCCTCTTGATGCTCTTCTGCCCTCCAGCCCCCCAGGGGGACTCTACTAACCCTTCCCAGCACAGAAAACACAGCCCTCCACAATAATGTGATACAGAACATCCCCACTGCAAGGCTGAACCTCAGTGGGACCCAAGTTAGCAGCACAGCTGGAAGGAGGAGTGAGGCATCCCCTGCTCCAGCTGCAGGGTCCCACCCCCTCCCAGCAGCAGCCTCCTCTCACACCACAGGCACTCACCCTGCACTGTGCCCCATGGGTACTGCCGGGCTTTCATCATCTTGTTTCCTATTTTCATTTCCTCCGTGCTGCCAATCACTGCAAATGGTAAGTGGGCCTGGAACACAATCAGGGCAGTGGATATGAGTCACTGTGAGCGACAGAGCACACAACCTGGGCATGCCACATGTCCTGAGCGAGACAGGGCTGCATTGGCACTGGCTGACTCTCCCCATGAACCCGGTCACTATAGCCATGGCCCAAGAGGCGGCTTTGGGGAACCCTGTTGCTAAGGTTCCTGCTCTCTTGCCTGATGGAGCTGTGTCAGGGTCCAGGACAGCTTCATGCACATCCTTAATGCACCCCCCAACTCCCTCCCAGACTTCTGCCCTGAAGGCTCAGGACTGAGTCTGGGCTGCTCATGGGAGCAGCCAGATACCACTGAGCCTTTGCAGGGGAGAAAAGAATACAGCTTTCTTTGCTCAAAGCCCTGAAGCCCAAAGCCCTTTGTACAGCCACAGCAGAGAAGCAGTTTCCCTTATTCAGCCCCACTGACTTGCCTCCACCCTGAGCAGAGGGGGCCAATAATGGTGCGGGCCTGTCTCTATTTCCAGCCATATGCTGGCCTCGCAATGATGCCTGCAGCTAAGGCAACTGTGGTGGGCTTTGTTTAGATTGCAGCTGGCATCTGTTGAGAGCCACCAATCAGCTGTCACTTTAATAAGCTGCAACCTAAAATTACAAGGCTCTGTGCCGTTACCAAAGCCTCACATTGGTCTGTCGCACAGGAGAGCCTGATGCTCAAGCTAGATCCTTTCATAGTGTTTGCATGTCATTCAGTCTCGGTTGCATCATAAAACCACCCCCCCACACACACAGCAGAGGCTCCAGGACCCAATTCAGAGACAAACCAGGACACATTTTGGAATAACAAGAGGGGGAGATGGTCCTTTGGAAAGCAACCAAACTGCTCTCACTACTAACTGGGTTGTTTTGAGCTTGATCTTCCTATAAGTGCACTGATCCTGGGACATAGCTTGGAAAAGCAAAGGGTTAATGCACCTGCAATACAACCCTCAGTGCATCACAGCCCCAGCCTGTCTGCTGCTCCTGGGAGGAACGCAGGTGTCTTGCAGATTTCAAAGATCCACTCGGCAGCAGTGCTCGGCAGGCCAGGCTTCTCTTGGTCTGCTATCTGGTACCAAGTAAACCAGTACAGCCTGTTCCATGGTCAGGTTGTCAGCGACTAAACCAGCACCCCAACCTGGGCAAGCCTGAGGGACTGGAGGATGTCTCCCAGCCTTTCATCCCAGCCTGCTGTACAATTCAGCAAATACCAGTCTCCATAGATTGAATGGTGCTTTGAACCAGTGTACTTGGGGCAAGAGGAAGGAGTGGGGGGGCTGGTCCCAGCTCTGCAACCAGCTCACCCTATAACTTCAAACAAATCAATCTGCCTCTCAGTCTCAGCTCTCCAGGCTGATAAGCAGCCTTACCACTCAGCAACCTCAAAAGGGAAATCAGGCAGATGAGGCAGAGCTCAGAAAGCACAAGACCCTCCAGAAATGCGAGGCTGGTGCTATGTGGAGTCAACAGGCCGGTGCCTTTTGCTTTTCAAAAAGAAACATAATCC